CACCGGGAGGCACCGCTGAATGTCACCGCGCCGCAGACCATAACAAAGACGCGGCCGCCGCGATCGTAGAGCCGAGCCAATAAAAAGCAAACTGATATTACAATTTTGATTTCCCTGGAGGGCCGAAGGGGCTTAATGTAAGAATTATTATCCATTGTGAGCAGCAGCCGAGGGAAAGCCCAGACGGGAAGATTTAGATTTTTGATTTTTTTTTAACTTCGCGGCTTTCCTAGGAAACATACATTCAGTGAAATTTATGCCAGCAGAGTTTGTTAACCCTCCCCTTTGACATTTCAAGCTTCTCCTGTTGCCAGAGGAGACAAGCCGAGCACAAACCACTAATGCTGGCAATAAAACGAAATGCCCAGGGACGAGCAGGATTTGCTGCAACCCCTCCTGGTCTGGGGGAGCCACCAGCACACCCAGCCCGAGGAGCCACAGCAGCTTCCGGCCCAGCCCGCAGGGACGGCTCCGCTTTCCCAGGACACAGCCAGGATGGGGCAGTAGGAAGGGCAGGGGCTGCCTAGCTGTATATATGTATCTGTAAAATACATCTATTTTTAAGCACGTGACCTGACATCTTTGGTGTCTGTACAACCAGGAGCAGCACCTGAGGCCATTGATGAAATATTTTAAAAAGTGAAAGCAACGCTGAAAACCAATATTAAAAGCATTTTAATAATTGGCTGTCTGTGGCTCCCACAGCTCAGCACCAGCTCCTGTCCTGTAGGTTTCTGCAGGACATTCATCTGCTTTCTGTTACCAGGCTGATTGCACATGATTCACTGTAATGATTGTAATGGTGGTGATTTTCTCTCTCTTACCTTGCTCGGATAGCAGCAGTTCATGAACTGATACATCTTGCCTTTTGTCAATTCGAAAGAGGACACCTTATTTGAACCACATAAAATATCCTAAATAAGGAAAGCAGGAAACGTTTCCAACTGCTGCCTCTCCCCGACTGGTTGGGGCATATCACAGGGATGAGGAAAGAAAAAGAGGTCTCCAACCAAAAGAAACAAGAGCCAACTGCTGCCTGTTAAAGCCAAGCTGGCAGTTTTTTTAACACTCTGCGTTTTGTTTGGGGTTTACCTGTTTCTAAGGCAGGTACAGGGTGTGGATGCACGTCCTGTGGCTGCTCCTCTGCCACACACCTGTGCAAAAACCCACATTTCTCTTGACCTGCAGAGCATCATCCCTGTGTGCACAGCTCCTGCCAGAGGGACTGTCCCCAGCCGAGGTGTGAGGAGTGGGCAGAGCAAGTGCAGGGGCTCCAGCCACCCCTGGGTGCCCAGGCAGTGGGGGCACCGTGAGAGCCTGATCCAGAGCAGGGGCTGCTGGGGTGCAGCTGTAAGACAAAACCTCTAACAGCCGGAGACAGATGGGCTTCCTGCAGGTGCTAGGAAGCATACCAAGGCAATTTCCCCTCAGACACTTGCTGCCCGTGTTCCCTCCTACTGCCCAGAGCTGGTATCTGTCTAGGTTTGTTCTTTTCATCATTATTTACAAAGTTCTTACCCCAGAGACAGAGCCAGCTCTGTGGCAGTGCCTCACTTGGGTTGGGTTCTGCCTCTCCAAAATACAAGATGCTTCACTTCCCCTCTCCTTTTATGCCAGTATCTCCTGCAGACCTGCTGTATGTTTGGTAGCAAGGAGCACTGATTGCACATGCCATCATTTCTGATGTTGCTCATTAGTCTATCATTATTAGCAATTCAAACAAGCAATTCTTTTCAGCTGTAATCCTCCAATTCCAACATGAAGACTCCAAGGCTGGGTGCTCAGCTTCTGCTCCCCTCTGCCCAGGCAGGGCCAGAGGTTCCTCCTGGAGCACACCAGGCTACGCACCAAACAATAACAGAAAGTTAATTAATGAATAGTTACAGCTTTTCCTTCAAGGCCACTCTCGCTCCAGGCACAGACTTTGTGACTCTCTTGCATGATGATGTCCTTGGAGGGAGGGGGAGGGCACTGGCCCCATTCATCCCTACCTGGCCACCCGCAGCCTTGGCCAGCTGGGCTCGTGGATTTGCCCTTCTGCTTTGGTCAGCTCTGCCCTGCATTTGAAGTTGTGGCCAGTCTGCAAACCAGATTAAAATATAGCCCTTGCTGAGGTCAACACTGTGCTGGGAAAGACAAGGAGAGGATAAGTAGGTAGGCTTGAAAAAAACCCACAAAACAAACAACAAAAAACAACCAACTCACAAAAAACAAAACCCACCTACCCAATCAATAGGATGCCAGAGGTAAGATGCACACAATGGAACCTTGTTCCAGGTTGCCAAGGCAAATCTGTCAATAGAGTATTGAACAAGCAAATCTGACTTGCAATTATTGTCTCCTTCAAAGTACAAGCTGCCCCTTTGCCTTGCAGTTCAAACCCGACGCTGGTGCTGAGCAGCTCAGCCACTGCTGTCCAGGGCTGCTTCAAAACAGTGAGGGAAGAGTCAACTCTGCTAGAAACTGGGCTGGAATCCACTCCAGCATATGCACTGGAAACCCCTGGAGTGTCCCCACCACCGTGGCTCCAGCAGCTGAAGTGACACAAGCCCTGCCCCCAGTGTAATGGTTTTCTAAAGGAGCAAAACCAAACTGTTTACTCTTCAAAGCTTTCAGAAAAACATACAGGACCACGGAGCACATGGGGGTATTTTCAGACACTCCTGCAGGAAGAAAACCAGTGCACAGAGTACACAGCATTTTGCAATGCTCAGGAAAGCACCATGAAGGGTCTGAGCACTCCAGGCTGGGCTGTCAGTGTGCAGTGAATGTGGTGGCCTTAAAACCAAGCTCAGCAGCAGGGTCTGGAGCTGCCACCACCCACCCAGAGGCAGCAGCAGCAAAATCCAGAGGCAAAACCACCCAGAACTGGGTCATCACATGGACACGTAAATGGCTTCACAAGCGCATCGCTGCTGCTGCTGCTGCGGGGCCATGTTAGGTGAATTCTCTTTTCTGGTGCTGCTTCCAGCACAAACCAGGAGAGGCTGCGTGAAAAATCCCCATGGATGAGAGGCTTGTCAGAAGTACAGGGTGTGCTTCCACAGCAGGGGACCAGCACAGGGGAGCATGCTGTGGTGCAGCTGATGGAGGCACCACGATGCTGAGTGCATGTGGCACCAGTACCCAGAGCAGTCACTCTGGGGGCATGGCTGGGCTCCCCTCACCCTAGAAAGGAAGGTGACAGCCCTGCTCTGCAGAGCTGCAGGGGGAACAGCATCAAAGAGCAGATTCCCAGGAGACTCCATCCCTTATGAACTTGGATGGGCATAACCCCCCCCGTTCCAGGGCCCTTTTCCACTGTGCCTTCACCCCCAGGCTCAAGCATGGGTGCCAGTGAGGGAGCCCATCTGTCTTTAATCTTCTTAGAGTCAGGCAAGACAGGAGAAATTCAGAGGAAAGAGGCACTGAAGTCCCTCTGTCCCTGGCTGTGACACAGGGCTCAGCACCCACCCACTGGGAGCAGGTCCCACCTGCCCCGTGTCCCCCAAGCAATGCACACTGCCTGGGACTCTGGCCAGCAAGCTCCAGGAAACATTCCCACTCAGGGGAACAAAACCCAAAGTAAAATATATAGAATGAAAGTTCCTCTATGAAAAAAGTCACACAGGGAAGACTGGAGTCCTGCACATGGGATGACTCATGTAACAGCCATGAGGTGGCTCTGGGATTCTTCTCTCTGTTCTCCAGGTAGATGGGAGCTCTGCTGTCACCTGCCATGCACCTTCTGTGGAGAGTGTGAGAAAGTCAGAGACACCAGGACACCTTGCTGAGCAGAGCAGGTTGGGGTGGTGATGAGGATGGTGGTTTGGAGACACCCTCAGCAAAGGCACTGGGAGAAAATTACCTTCTGTGGCTTCTAGAGGGCATTTCCAACACACTCAAAAGGAGTGCAAGTGTTTAAACTTCTGTGGGGAAGAACTGTTTCCCACAGCAAGAAATTCCCTTTGTCTTAGGAGCCAGACTTCTCACACCAAAGGGACAAGGACAAAAGCCTCCAGGAAGACACTTCCACCCTCCCAGCAAACAGCAGCCTGGCCTCTAATCGTGCTTCTTGATGAGCAAAACCACCAAACTCCTCTTGACACAGTGAGACAAGGCACACACCTCCAGGAGGGTTCTTGCCTCTTCTAGGAAGACAGTCCAAGATTATTAACTAGTACAAAGTCTTGACCATGCAAAGGAGTCACCAGACACAGGGGTTTACTCCTCATGGTCTGATGGCAGGATAAGGGCAAATGATGTGGCTGGGCTGCTGGACAGTTAATGGGAGCTTCCAGGGAAGCATTTCAGCTGGAACTTCTCAGGTGACTCCAGCTCTGCACAGCAGCCAGGAACACAGCTTCACTGAGAGGCTAAAGGAGTTTGAAACACAAAAGCATTATCCTGATATTGCAGTGATCAAACTCAAAGAAGACTGAGCAGATCTACCTGAAGTTTCTTTTAAAGCATCATCTTTCAGAGAACATTAAACACAGGGAATACCAGTCCCAAAACCATCCTCAGGAGATAAACCACCACCTGAATCTCAGCAACAATACACACTGCTGAGATTGCCAGTGCAGCAAAACCTGATTCCTCTGCCTCACGTGGCTGCAAAGCCAGCCTGGCCTGCCCACGCCTGCAGGGATGCCAGCACCTCTGCTCACCCCACACCAGGCTGCTCCTCCAGCCCACACGCTCTCATCTCCCTGATGCAGGAATGGCCTCCTGCCTGCTCCTCCCCTCTGAGCCTTCAGGCACTCGTGCTGTTCTCCCCCTCAGGCAGGTGCCAAGCAAAGCCCCAGAAAAAGGAGATTGTGCTGAGGTTCTTGGGACACAGTGAGCCCAGAGCACCCAAAGGTGCAGCCCAGCCATGGCACAAGCTGTCCTGGCTTCCACCCACACCAGCAGCTCCTCCTGGAAGGGATGAGTCTTCACAAGGCCTTCCCTGGCTGCAGAGGAAGCTAAACTGCTTGTGCCAAGCTATTTAAGTGCCGAGATTGATTGATTGATTGCTTGATTGGTTTGCTAAGGTTACAGCTGAGGAGAGTTCACCTGCACCCTGGTGCTACCAGGAGCTGCCTGGGAGGGGCAGGGTGACCGGACCCAGTGAGCTGCTCCCAGCAGACGGGGTGGAGGAGGATGAAGAAAGCAGAAAACTGCAGCCCTCCTGCCCCGGGACCGGTGTGGTGGGAACTGCACGGGCTGCTTGTGGCAGAGCTTTTACCTCGGTGCTCTGCACTTTGCCAGGGCTCAGTTCCCACGTCCCCCAGTGCTGCTTGTGCACCTGCTGGGCTGCAGCTCCAGCCCCAGCCCAGCGCCCCGGCCTGCCCGCCCCGGCCAGCACTGCCATGGCATCTGTAACTGCCCACAGGCAGAAGTGGAAATTAGGTTTGGGGTGGGACAGCTCGGGGAGGCGGAGAAGCAGGTGAGGGCCTTGTCAGTGCACGTCCCACCTCATGGTGTGGGAAGGGCTGATGGAGGAGCCTGGCACGCAGGCTGGTGATCAGAGGGAATTGCCCAGCCCTGCCCGAGCACAGCTGAGCTGAACCCTGGGCTGAGCTGCTGTGAGGGCTGTGGAGGTGGGAGCTGTGCAGCCAGCCACAGGGACCTTGGGACTCTCTGGCTCTGAGTCACCTGGGGGCCCTTTGGTGTCCCCAGGAGGCTGGTGGCACCGCGAGCTGGGGCTCCCGTGGGGCTCAGTGTGTGGTGGTGCGGCCGTGCAGCGGGTGGGCCTGGGGCTGCCCCGCACAAGTGGCTACAGGATCCTTGCTCCAGGCACGAGGCTCCCTCGGGAGTGAGCTGGGAGCTGCTGGGATGCATCTGGCAGCCATGGCACGGGCTGGGGGACTGTGCAGTGACAGCCCAACTCAGTACT